TATATATGACATTTATTTGAAATCCGAATGTTTCACAGCGAAATCAATGCCGTTGATATAATTTTGTTTGGCTATGTGATTGATCAGAGAAGGACTAGTATCGCCAATTTTTTTAAAGCTACATAGTTGTAATCTGCGGGATTCTTTTGTAAATAGTAACTTCATTATGTAAATTACTTTATATGTTAATTATCTCTAATATTTAGACTAAATACTGGAAACCCGTGCCATGAAATAAATTTAAAAAATGGTTACGTGGTGCAGCCAGATTTTATCCTCGATACATAGACGCTTGGTTTATGTTCTACATCAAACTATTCACTATTAGATATTCTTGGGCTTGGCAATTTTAGTGAAATATTACAATTATGCCCAATCGCGTAAATGTCCATTAAATTTAATGAGTAACAACATGTTACACCATACATATATATTGTCCCCAGTTTTGCCCTAGTAAAGGACAGTATTTTAGTAGATTCATCTTGAAATTCGCTGTTCTTTATTTCGTCTTCCGTGCGTTCGCTAAAACCATTGCGACACTACGACGCTCTGATTCTCTTCGATTTGTCTATTATGGAGCACCTTCATTTTGTTAACTTACTGCTTAAATTTACTATCAAGGTCTGTTCTTACAAAACTCATCTACATTTTATGACACAAGCACAGTAAAAAATAAGGTACCTATATCCTGTAAGGACAGGCAAAATGGTGTGGTGATAAGCTTATCATGCCTACAAGCTACCTTTTGGTGACAATATATCAAACTAATCGCGGATCTTATATTTCCTTGAATAATATAAAATTTTCAAGAAAATGCAGCCACTGGTGGAAAAATAACTCGGTTCCCACACCGTTCGTTCCTCTATCAGAAGACTAAAACGCGGTCTAGTGGCAAATGGTCAAATAACCGTTTTAAATAGCAAAAAAAAAATCACAAATATTTGTATTAATAATTATAACAAACTAGTGGAATAATTTTAAATACAGTGAATAGCGACATCTCTCGCCAGGACTGGTAACTGTAAAGATATCTAACTGGGTGATAAAACTTTCATAGATTTCTCATAGATGGCGCTAAGACTAAAAAGTCGTTGAAAAAACCAAATACAAAAGATACGACGCAAGCACATAGAAAAATTCGTGGGGTCCGCTGGTTCGTTTCGTGGCTTAGTTGGTATAGCGTCTGTCACGGTAAGCTAGAAGGATTTTTTTCTGAGTGTTCGATCTTTGTATTAATAATTATAACAAACTAGTGGAATAATTTCACAAAAAATAATTGAATATCAATTCGATAAAAATTTTAAAATCACAAAATTCTCTTTCACGTGTGGCGCACTATAAGTTTCCGGAATGAATAAAAAAAAATACTACAAATGGTCAGAAATGAGTTTATTATTTCTCAAAATATTCTCCGTTAGCGTTAATGCACTTTTTCATACGAATGAACCTATTTTGAAAATGACAATCTCTGAAACATATTTTTCATACTCTTCGACAGCATCTTCAGGTGATGTAAATCGTTGACCGCGTAACTGGTTCTCAATTTTTGGAAATAAATGAAAGTGACAAGGTGTCAGGTCGGGACTGTACGCGGGATGACTCATAAGGTCAACTTTGTTCACCTTCAAAAATTCATTTGTCTGTCTGGCCGTATGAGTACTCTATTGCGCTCGATTGCTGCTTTGTTTTGGGATCGTAACTATAAATCCATGTTTCGTCACCTGTTACTATGTCCCACACCAAATTTGACGCCCCTTCATTGAATCTGGTAAGCATGGCATTGCACCAAGTGACGCGATCCGTTTTTTGAGCCTCAGTCAAATTGTGTGGGATCCACCGAGAGCACAGCTTTTTCACACCCGTATGTTTGTGTAGTATTGATTGTATTTCGCTCATGTCACATGCCTGTCTGTTTTGATCTTACGGTGAATGATATCGATGTTTTTGTTGTTCACAGCAGTGGACGGGCGACCATCACGAAATTCGTCACTTAGTTTCACACGACCGCGTTTGAATTCTGCAAACAAGCTATAAATAGTCGTCATGAATAGTGCTTCATTTCCCAAAGCAGTTTGAAGCCGAGTGAAGCTACGCTGAGCTGTTAAATTACACTTAAAGTCGTAGAAAATTATACTACGAAAATTTTCCCAAGTTAAATCCATGGTGATGTAGACAACCAATTTCTAAAATGACGTCACAATGTAAAAACAAGTGCCAGTCAGACGAAACAAACTGTATTCTTCAGCCAAAGAGTTCCATTTTCGAATGTTCTAATTACTTTTTAAATATTGTTTATGTAAGTGGCCAGTTCCGGAAACTTATAGTGCGTTATATGTAAAAACCTTAGAGGATGGAAAAAAAATGAAGGCAAAAACAGTCAAAATTAGTTAATGTGTTCGACTTATCGGAACTTACCCTAACAATTTCAATATTCTGAACACGGGGTTATGGTTTTTGTGATATCTCAGAAAATTATAATGTCATTTAGCCACGTCTTCGCTAGCAGATGGCAGCCTGTAGCGCGAAATCTCTATGCGAGAATGGTGGTATCTCAAACCCACAAGATCGACGTGAAACTCCATGTGGATACACCCGCAAATGGCTTTGGTTGATTTCGCATAACATTGAAACTGTTGAATTAATAACTTTACCTTTACTTACTTTATTTTACTTTAAACGTGACCATAGGTCCAAAAAACAAGTATACGCGATTTAAATCCGGAGAAATAGTTTCATTTCCTATGTGTAACAATCGCGAAAACTAGGAACTCGAAATATATAGTAAAATTGAGTGTATACATTGATACGACGTGAAAACGCGATTCTTAAAAACTTTCACGAAATAGAATTACAAGAAAACCGCTGTATGTCTTATTTGAATTGAACTGAATAGAATACGTATTATCTATACGATATACAATTTTCATATAGGTTTAATTTTTTTACAATTTCGTTTGTTAAAAATTTAATTCTGAAATAATGCTACTGTCCCTGCCGTTCGACGCACGCAATAAAATCGATTCAGTACGGGAAAATTTAGAATTCGAGCCGAGGTAGTATCGACTCTTAAGAGCTCTCATGCCAAAAAAGTTTTGACGTTGGCTCCGCCCAAATTTGTGAAACAAATATATGCCTGAAGTTCGCGTGACATGCGACAGGAGATGATGAATTTTGCGCATTAAAAGTACCAAATTCGTTTTAGTGGAATAACTCTAAAACTAAAGGGATTAAAAAAAAATCCGTAGTGACAGTTGTCGATCATACATAAATATAATTAATTATCTAATTTTTGTCCTAATAACCTGTAGCATTTCGAGGATGAATCGAAAAAAGGTGAACATTAGAGGTCATTTCGTGATTTTTATCTATCGAGGAAACTTCATTGTTTTATGTTTCTGATTAATGTCTATGCTTGAATATATCGTGTAGTTACTCATACAATATTTTATTTTTAACTTTAAAGTGGATATACCCCTTTAAAATCAAATCGAAGATTAGGAATTTTTCCTCTGCTCCCTCTTAACAAAAAAGTACAAGCCGAGCGGAGCAAAGAAAAAAGACAAAATGGCTTAAACGGTATTTCCCCGCCTAACTATGGCTTCATTTGTCCTTGCCCCGCTTGCCCTGACTTGCACATGGGAGAACTTTATTAAGAGGGAGCAGTGGAAAAATTCCTAATCTTCGATTTGATTTTAGAGGGGTATATCCACTTTAAAGCTAAAAATAAAATATTGTATGAGTAACTACACGATATATTCAAGCATAGACATTAATCAGAAACATAAAACAATAAAGTTTCCTCGATAGATAAAAATCACGAAATGACCTCTAATTTTCACATTTTTTCGATTTACCCTCGAAATGCTACAGGTTATTAGGACAAAAATTAGATAATTAATTATATTTATGCATGATCGACAACTGTTACTACGGATTTTTTTTAATCCCTTTAGTTTTAGAGTTATTCCGCTAAAACGAATTTGGTACTTTTAATGCGCAAAATTCAACATCTCCTGTCGCATGTCACGCGAACTTCAGACATATGTTTGTTTCACAAATTTGGGCGGAGCCAACGTCAAAATATAATAACCAATAGTTAAAATAAGGGAAATAGTACAACTGATTGCAATAAATCAATTGCTGACGATGACGCCTGCAAAAGCTGTAAATTAGCCCTAAAACAATAGGTACTAGTAATTAGATGCCCATATTGCAGCGTTGCCAAATATAATACATTTGATACGTAAGATGCATTTCAACGCTGCTAAATACTTGGAATGTTTCACGCAATGTTCTCAATTTGAACATCGCTCGGTTCACAAGTGAGCGTGTGATGGACCGCAGCGGATGTGCGATAAGTCCGTCCGTTCCGTTGGCCCGATAACGAGCATTAGGCTCTCGAGTAAATGAACTCATTATTGTATCAATGGACTTACGCCACATTCGATAACCTCACCGATGATCCGCCAAAACGATACCGGCACCACTCTATTTATGTAGATACTCCATTTACTTGTTTATTAGTAACAACTTGTAAATTTCGTAAAGTGTAGGTACTAAACAGAATAAGTAGGTATGAGTGTTATATTGGTAGCTAAATTCATCTACATGTTTTTACAGTATTTTTTTAAATGCGTACAATAAGTATAATGCAATGAAACGTAGTAGCCATAAAAAATCTCAACACGCAGAGCTTGCGGAGTCAGAAATTTAAACTTAAAACTCTTGGATCAAAGTTAGTAAACTTTATCAAAATGGAACGCAAGTACTTTCACTCGAAAACCTCAACTTGTGAGGCTGATTTACTACTTCCCAGTACTTGGTCGTGGTTTCCAACAATGCGACGTATAATCAGGCGAACAAACAGCGTTCCTAATATAGACGCGAGCTTTTCTTCCAAGTTCGTCTAGTACACATGTCGTACAACAAAAACAGAAGCGGTGTGTAACTAACTATGTCAAAATTAGGTGCCGGCGTTGGGTATTGAGAAGGCGACTTACTTGGGGCCGTCCGTCGCTGCTGTAACAGGACGTGAATTTCTGGGAGCCTGTCCAGGGTGTGTGGTAGTTGTCCTGTGCTTGCGCGGCCACGAGAAAGGTTAGAAACTGCGTGACGAACAGAGCGCGCGCCATTTTGTGTGCGCGCCTGGACTGCGTCGCCGCGGCTGCCGTCCGCCGAGCACTGACGCGAGGCTCGTTTCACAACATGCGGTCACAGATTACTCAGCCCCACAGAAGCGACCTCCGTTTCGTCTCTGAGAGTGCACATCTTTCATCTAAAATTGAAAACTACGTGTTAGATAAAGAATTGGAAAGACGACATGGCATTAGGTTCCACAGCATTTGAAAAGAGCCATAGAGTTTCTTGCTCGTTCTTATCAGGGAAGTCAGCTTAGTGAACTAGCAGTAGCTTAAGATGACGTTTTCAAGTGTGTTTTGTTAAACTATGGAATAAGTGATTCTTTGACTTTGACTCTAGAAACAACAGGATTTCTATGTTTAGTTTGCATATTAGCTTATTGTTTATGAATCAACTTTTTTAAAACGACTTTAAAATCACTAACGCAAATGCATTTTCATTTACAAAACACACTGAAGTATTGGTCAATACAAAAAGCAAGATTGTGAGTCATCAGTACACGTGATATTATCTAATTTTGGCTTAGTAATAAACATTAGTGAACAAACAAGTGTTCTGTCTTATAGCGTAGATAATCTTTGTGAGTCGCACACATTTCTAAGCATGAGCCGGCGGCGCGTCGGCGGTATACCTAGCTCGTCAGCCCGCCGGTTTTTTGTGCACCACTGAAAAGGGCAAAACCTTTGTTTTGGCATAATACCGCCATGTGCGGTCATCCGACCATTCCGGCTGAACGGCAGCACGGCCTTTGCATCGACGCATCATTAGGGTAGAGCTGCATCGCAAAAACCTGTTCTTTGATGGGTAGCTATACTTATGAATGAATACTTAGGATAATGGGCTCCGACCATCCAGTAAATGCGAATTGGGGAGCATTGCAGGCAAATGCATGCGAAATTATTTACGTTGTCAAGGTCAGATTAGGTTTATTCAGTTATTAGAAGTAAAGGATGTCGTTTTCTATTGTAACCATTCACAATGACGGTTCTACAAAAGCACAGATAAACACTAAACTCCATCAAAGCGTGTTTTTGTGTACATTCAATTATGGAATAAGGTTATCGGTTAAATTACGGCAATTGGTGTAATTTTATTATAATTTATTAAAGGTTTGAAAGAACATTTCCCTGCCTGTAAAGGATAGTGACCCAATCCAAAGTAGTTGCTTTTTGATTTATGTATTACTAAGATTTGTTCTAATGTTGAATTTTATTTGGTTAAAATAATCACAAGACAAAGTCAAACTCTAGTCTTAATTTCTTAGGTAAGTAAATTACACTTGAAATTATCATACTGATTAAACTCTACTGCTAATTCGTAAGGCAGATACCAAGAGAAGAATGAACAAGAAGCTTTAAGGGTAGCTTTTTTAAATATACATTTGAATATATTTATGAAACAATATTTAAAAGGGGCACTAGCACGGGTTTTTCTAATATTCTTAATAATAATCCTTAGTATATAGTTTTTGTTTCACTGTAGGTTTAAACCTCGTAAATGAAACAATTTTTTTTTTAATTCGGTTCACAAAACTGTATACAATTCAGATATAAACTACAACTACGAAAACAACATGCAAAACAGGTCAAAATAACTGTATGAGTATCAAAATATTAAATAAGTGACAGTAACTCTACATTTCAAGTATTTTAAGAGAACTCAACAAAGTCAGTCGTGTAGTTAACATAATAGACATTTTGTAATTGAGTTCCTAGCTGAGAATTTTGAGAATTAGGAACATCAATCGGAATTATCTCATTATAGAAGCGTATACATTGCTTTTAAACATTTTATGAATTTGAGACTTTGTGAAGACGACTGTCAAAAACAGCTAGTTTATTTGTATTTTTCATATTAATATTAGGTCTGTCACTTTTTTCTTAAAAAAAAAAATATAGCTTTCTTAACATAATTAACATTTTTTTTAAATGTGCTGTGACGTTAGTAAGTTTACTCTCGTCACAACGTTGAGATGGTCTCAGGTTTTTTAAAACATCTTTCTGGTGAATTAGGTGCTTTTGAGATAGGCCACTATTTTAGAAAGCCATCGATTTGTCTTCGCTTATACATAATCAACAAGAACCATAATTATTAGCTTATGACTGCAGATAACAATAGTAGAGGTCAGACTACTACACTAATTAGATTACCTGGTCTCAAATTAGGGAATTCCGTGCTCCCAGGCGTATTTCAACAAATTCAGAAAAGTTCATTTCCATCATACCGCGAATTGAACCCGAGACTTATCATTGTTGGACCATCGTCAAGATGATACAGTAAGGGCGCGTTCCCATTATGACGTGGCGACAGATAGTCGTGCAGTTTAAAGTGTCGTGGCTTGTATATTTATATGAAGTTGTTCACAGATAGAACAACACGATTAACTGTCTTTTTTGACGTTACGACGACAGACTGTCGTGACAATGGGAAGAGCTAGAACGACAGTCGTCAGACATTACATAAAACGTCACGATAAAAATGTGACGACAGATAATCGATAAATAAAACGTTCTTGACACAGTCACGACAGATAGTCATGATATGGGAACTGGCTAGACGCGACAGTCGTCCAACGATAACATAAAATGTTACGACATAATAGGAACGTGTCCTGCGTAACTAACGTGTCGAACCTAAAGTCGAAATCATCACAGGACTTACCTATTTTTAGAATGTCCAGTCAATTTTAAATTAAACCATTTACATTACTGACTGATACCAAGTTATAAATCATTGTAAAATATTAATTGAAATATGAGACTAAAGTACACACGGCACGGCTATACAAACACGGTTGTTATAAGTTTAGAATTACTGCCTGTCGACAGTACGTTAGTTTGTGTGAAAATAAACATCACAGGACTTACCTATTTTAAGAATATCCAGTCAATTTTAAATTAAACCTTTTAACATTACTGACTGACACCAAGTTATTTCATTCTAAAATATTAATTGAAATATGAGACTAAAGTACACACGGCACGGCTACACAAACACGGTTGTTATAAGTTTAGAATTACTGCCTGTCGATAGTACGTTAGTTTGTGTAAAAATAAACAGACGACAACGCTTGCTAATATTTTTTTTGATACCAAGTTACGGGACGAACAAGTCGGGTGCCTGGTGGTGAGCGACACGCATAACAATTGCAGTGCCACAAATGCCCGTTTTGTTTTTTATTTATTTAAGAAAATCAACAGCCTAATACAATTAAAATGTACTTAATGCTAGTCAGTGTTAAGGCCAATTACAGATATTCTGGATTATACGTAGATTTCTGTATGCGACGTCACGTCGCAGAAATCTACGAGCTCGCACGACGCATCGCAATAATTTGCGAATTGCTCGTCTTCTTTGTGTTTTTCTTATACTTTCTTATCAATAACAGCAGTGCAACACTCTTTTTACGATACATGTCGCTACCTAGTTTAAAAAATACGTTCTGTACGGTTGATGATCGTCCAATGCATGGTTACCCGAACCATGACACTGAGATGTCTTGCCGCATGAAATCGCATCGCAGTTTTCTGCGTTGCAGATTTCTATCGCGCCGATTGGCAATTTTGTGTCTCGACCCTTAGTCGTAATAAACAGATTGTCTCGCATTGACAAATCAAACAGATAAGTACGTATTAGACGATTTGATATATTAAATAAAAAGAAAAAGTCAAACTCGACATTTTTATCCGAAAGGATAAAAATTAAATAACTTTAAGCAAAAAAATGCCTTAAACTGAAGTACGTCTTAAGTCACGTTTAAATAATTTAAGGCAATCCTAATATTTATGACGTGGATTATGCTGTGAACACGAAGATCTGAGTGGCTCTACCACTGCGCCCGTCACCCTGAGACATAATAAGTCGATAAGTCCCATGTGCCTCTAATTAGAGATGGGAATAATTGCTTATTTTTTTAAACGTTTAAATATTGCTGCCTTTTTAAAAAATAATTTGTTTGAAACTTAAAAAATCGTTTACAAAAACGTTTAAGCGAAGGGACTTTTATGTTTAAAAATTGCACTATAAAGGTTTTAAGTTAAGCAACATTATTTGTAGAACACGAATTTTATTTTTATTTATAAAATTATTATTCACATTGACGAATTAATTTGTTTAAGAAACATAAACTTATGGAGTTGAAACTTAGTCGCTATGTGCTTATTATAAAAAGCAAACTTTTTAAAGTGCTTTTCGTTTAAACGCCCTCCTCTACCTTTAATTTCACCAGCACCCTTACTGAAGACTGAAGCGTGAATGACGCTCTGTATACGATTTTAACGCCCTATAAGTTCGGACACTTTTTAGCGCGGACCCGACGTAAACTTCTTGGCCATTACTGCTTGGCGGTAGAAATAGATAAGGTAGGTAGTAAGGGCAGTACTTCCCTGGACGAACTCTACTAACTACTAACCTGGCAAATAGCCAGAACCTTCTAAGAAGAGTATTACGACTGCTTCCTTTGCTCAGATAACAGGAATCCCCCGCATTACATCAGCTAGAACTGCGTTATGTAGAGTTTCAAGTTGAAAAGAAACTTGACTCTATCTCGGCTGGGTTTTGCCGATATAGCAAATTTATTTGTTCTGAATTGAAATTCAGCGATTTAGTTCACAAACATCATGCCCTCTTATGTTTTCCTTTAGAAGTTTGACCATTTGTATATAGTACACATGTCGTTTGGGATAGAGGAAATAAGTATTTAATACTAATACTGCTGACATATTTAGATTGGTTCCTTGTTTTTTAATCCGTAATTACTTCGACCTTTGTGAACCAGTTTCGATGATCTTTTTTGTTATAAAGTGAACACCTCACCTCCACCTCTAATGGTGGGAAATTAGAAGATGAATCCGGTTTATTGGGTTGCACCCATTTGTCGTTAACCGATTTGAATAAAACTTGGCAAATAGATGTTATTCTACAAACTTTAGAGGTGGTTTTTTTATAATAAAGTTATTTACTTCTTTTAAGTTATTGAATGTTATGGTGTTTGACCACCATGATATACAAATATTTTTGTAAAATTACGTCACTAGTTTGTTGTAATTATTAATACA